TATTTCTTTAAGTATTTTTTTTCTGCCTGTTCTATCTTTTCCTTCTATGACTAATACTACGCACGTGTTAGACATTTTGCTAATGACCCAAAGGTCCCAAGGGTATGTTCATTTTGTACCATCTTTCCCCTCTCTCTTCTTCATATTAGGCAATTTCCATAAATTTATATTCAGGTTTACTATTTCATCTATTTTATGTCATAAGCCCACCCAAGTGAAATTTTAATTAGAAATACTGTATTTTTATGTTCTAAAGTTTCCAGTTGGCTCTTTTATTAAAAAAAACTTTCGGGGGGCGCCTGGGTGGCGCAGTCGGTTAAGCGTCCGACTTCAGCCAGGTCACGATCTCGCGGTCCGTGAGTTTGAGCCCCGCGTCAGGCTCTGGGCTGATGGCTCAGAGCCTGGAGCCTGTTTCCAATTCTGTGTCTCCCTCTCTCTCTGCCCCTCCCCCATTCATGCTCTGTCTCTCTCCGTCCCAAAAATAAATAAACGTTGAAAAACAAAAACAAAAACAAAAAACTTTCGGGGCACCTGGGTGGCTCAGTTGGTTGAGAGACTGACTTCGGCTCAGGTCGTGATCTTATGGTTTGTGAGTTCGAGCCTTTGTAGTGACAGCTTAGTGCCTGGAGCCTGCTTCTGATTCTGTGTCTCCCTCTCTCTCTGCCCCTCCCTCACTCATGCTCTGTCTCTCTCTGTCTCAGAAATAAATAAACATTAAAAAAATTAAAAAAAAACCTTTCTATTTCTCTGCTGGCATTCATATCTTTTCACTCATTATGTGCATATTTTCTTTTGCCTCACTAAGCAGAATTAGGTTTTCAAATCCTTGTCTGCTAATTCCAACTCTGGATCTTGTTTTTTCTTTTTTCTTTTTTTTCTTGAGAAAAGATCCTATTCTTTATGTGTCAAATAAGTTTGAATTGTATTCTGGACATTGTGAATGTTATGCTGTGAAGATTCTGTATTTTGTTATTTTCCTCTAAAAGGTGTTGATTTTTTTTTTTTTTTAGTAGATAATTTAAATAGAGTAAAACTACAAACTAACTTTTTGGTGGCAGCTTAAGTCTGAGTTTAGTTCTTTTATTCCTATCTGCATTGTCATTGTTTGCACACAGTTCTGCATGTGTATGGTTCAGGGATCAGCTAGAGATTTGGACAGAGACACATAATTTACATTTCCTTCTCTCTGGCTCTCACTTTCTTGCAGTTCCCCTTTCCATTTCCAGTAGATATGGTTGTTTTAAACTCTGTGCTTTGGTAATTCAGACCAAAAATATCTGTGAGCAAGCTATTGGAATTTTAGCCACCCTGTGTGGCACAAACTGAAGCCATCATCCAGTCTAAAAGCAATAGAGAATGGAAACCCATATTCCTGTGCCATTTACTTCTTCCAAGTGTTATCATCTCTCTAGAATCTACCTGCTTTTGGTTGGTCTTCAATTGCTTCAGGTAAGTTATGTTTTGTTTTGTTTTGTTTTTGTATTTTATTCAGTTTGTAGCTGTTACCTTTGAAAGGGTAGGTCCAGGAATCATTTATTTGGCCATACTGCAAGTGGAACCTGGAGGGGAGTACAGGTTGATACAATAATTTTAGTGAGAAATTTGGCAATAGCTAGCAAAAGTTGAAGTTTAGAATATCCTAAAACAAATTTTTGCACATATATACATATGTAAGAATGATCATTGCATTTTTTTTTTGGTAATAGGAAAAAATGGCAAAATAACCCATATGTTCATCAATAAGACAGGAGGTAAATAAATTGTGGGATATTTATAAAATGAAATCCTATACAATATTAAAGATGAATAAACTAGTGCTATATGTGCCAATGTGATTAAGTCAAAGTTCGATGTTGACTGAAAAGTGTTAACTCTCAGAAAGATATGTATGGTATAGTATTAATTATATAAATTTAAAAAATATGTGAAACAATTCATATAGTTTGGGCTGCAGATATATATATATAGTATGTCTGTAGCTACCCTATCTGAAATTTTACCCTACCCAGAATTCCAATCTCTTTAAACATTTCCTATCTTGTTTACCTGGGGTAGCATTTTTTCTTTTATGCAATTATCAGTTTTTAGTGTTCTATATGTTTACCTCATTTAATTTTTTTTTTCTTCTCCACTAGACTATTAGCTCCATGAAGGCAGAGATTGGTGTTTTCTTTGTTCTCTATAGTATCTCCAGGGATATATATATATTATATATATATAATATATATATATATATAATATATATATATAGTATTCAATAAGTATTTGCTGAATAAATAATTGAATGGTATAGATATATGAAGGTTTGATTAACTACAAAGTTAGAAAAGTTTTATGGGGGCTTCTCATGAATCTAAAATGTTTCATTTCTTGGGGCACTTGGCTGCCTCAAGTTTGTAGAGCATGTGACTCTTGATCTTGGGGTTGTGAGTTTGAGCCCTACACTGGGTGTAGATATTACTTAAAAAAATCTAGGGGCACCTGGGTGGCTCAGTCGGTTAAGTGTCTGACTTCAGCTCAGGTCATGATCTTGCACTTTGTGGGTTTGAGTCCCTCATCCGGCTCTGTGCTGACAGCTCAGAGCCTGGAGCCTGCTTCGGATTCTGTGTCTCCCTCTCTTTCTGCGTCTCTCCTGCTCATGCTCTGTCTCTCTCTGTCTCTCAGAAATAAACGTTAAAAAAAATTTTTAAAATCTTAAAAAAATAAAATGTTTTATTTCTTTCAAATAAAGTATCTAATGAAAATATGATTATATTAAGATCTAATGGCACTGGGTAGTGGCAAAAGTTGTGGTTATATTGTTTTTTATATTTTTATGTGGGAAATAACTTCATTAAACAAAAGGACACCAAAAGGTTTGGGGAAGAGTTTTCAGAACATTGTAGTATAGAACTTAAGGGAAGAGGTGGTTTTAAAAATGAATAGGGAGATATTTGAAATGCTGGAATTAGTCATCAAGAGATAAGATAATTGTAATAGAGTATTAGGAAATTATTAGTGACTATTGAAAGAAACTGTTTCAGCAAAAGTTGCTAATAGGTGGGATGCTGAAGAAATGGAGACAGTAGGTGGAGAAATGGAGATCACTTATTCGCTATTATGATAGGTACAGCTTTTCCAGGATTCATGTTTGTGACCAGAATGGGACAATCCATTGAAAAGATAGAGACTTAAAATGTTGGAAAGACAGGACAATTCATGGGAGCATTTTTAATTAGTGGTATAGTTTTAGAAAAGGGCATTTCACCTGGCAATGAGGAGAGGCACTCCTTTTGCAGTAGAATAAAAGAAACAAAGGTTGACACAGGTAGGTGGAGACAAAGGGAAGTAGAGGTTCATCTTTGTTTGAAGTAGTAATTTAGGCCCTCTGTTGGAGTGGAGAAAGTGGATAATGGATATGATCCAGGTTAGTGAATTAGCTCAATAGGCATGTTAGAAGGTTGAGGTTGTAAGAGCCTAGGTTGTTAATTAGGGTATCAATTATACAGATGATTTCAGGCTTTGAAGGGTTTGAAACAGTCAGAACTAGCCTTAATGGAATGGGTACATTTCAATGGCTTGAACAGTAACGTTAACAAAAGCAAACACATGTGTCAAGGATTATTCTAGATTCTCATGTCATTAAAATGTGTCAAGGATTATTCTAGATTCTTTGTGTATACTCATTTAATCCTGACAACAACCTTTGAGGTAGCTATATTATTATGAGTATTTTGCAGGTGAGAAAAATTGAGACAGAGCAGAAACTTGCTTACGGTCACACTGAAGCAGAGCTGGAAATCAAACTCAGGCTATCTAACTTCTGAGTCTGTACCCCTTAACAATGTTACACTCTCAGTGGGGTAGTAGGAGGTTTTAATTCATGACAAACAGCAAGATTAGTAAGCAGGCCATGGAAGAGTAGTTTCCAACACATTGTTGCTTTCTTTCTGGGTTACCTATAGGACACCATTAAATTTTTTTCCAATTGTTTTCTTTATCAAAGCCTCAAGCCTTCCAGAAATTTCTGAGTAAATCATTGAGCCTTCTTTTAATCACACAAAATATTTGATATCTTCAAAGATTTATATTATATTCATATTTTCTTTCAGAATGGTTCTAGCTTATTTTTACCCCAAATTAACTCGTCAGCATTATTCTTTACACCATCATTTATCTTTGACTGAAAAATGGAACTTCTCTGGGATGTATTTTTAGGAATGAACAATGGTGTAGGGTGATCAGCCTGGTTAGGAAGACCAACCTGTCAATCAGTGATGTGATTTAGTCTTAGTTGTGTATACACCCCAAAGAGCTAAATTGTTAACATTTTTGCCACTATTATAGAGTTTTGCCACTGTGTGCATCATAATGGGCAGTTTCCTTGCTGTGAGAAGACTTTTTCAGGCTATTCAGAAACATCTTTTCTTGATATGTGGTCACATATTTTTTTCTTAATTGTCAAAGATTTATTTTGAATGTGTTGTATGTATCATATTCAATTTAACATCCTTTTCCCTAAAATAAGGATTATGCTTTTTAAGTTTTTTATTTTCTAATTGTTAAATTATTTTTATTTAAACATTTTATTTATTTAAATAATCTCTGTACCTAACGTGGGGCTTGAACTCACAGCTCAGAGATCAAGAGTCGCATGCTCTTCCGACTGACTCTGCCAGGCGCCCCAAGGATTATTCTTTTTTGGTGAGATGGAAAAATATTGATATCGATTTAGTCACCACAGTTATTAGCACTGAAAACAATTGCTCAACTCTTACAGTATTGTTTCCATAGCTTTTGCTAAATCAACGTGCTTTGATCATTGCTTCTTAGCTTTCACAAATTATTTAGGTTATTTGAATTAAAGAGTGGTCACAGCGGTTGGCAAATGTACAGCACATTAGTTTTAAAAAGACTTCAACTAAAAGGACTTTAATTTAGAAGGACTTTCACATCCATGATCATTTGATCTGCCCAATAAGTCTTTCAGCGACCAAGCAGGTTTTATTCTCATTTTACAGATGCAGAACCTGAGACTCAAGGACATTAAAAGATTGGTTCTAAAATGAGTAAGTCTTGAATCTGGTTCTGCCTGACTCTAAGTCCAGGCTCAGAACGTCCCTCCACTCCGCAGTTGATTCTTTAAGTATCTTCTATTAACATGTATGATGCCCCTTTCCATTGGCTTCTTTTGGTTTTTCAGCAGTGCCACGTGCCAATTTCCTCACGTGCCAATTTCCATTCTGGGTGGTTGCAAGGGAACACACCTGGGTTCCTTGTCTCTAATCTTTCATTTTTCTTTTCTGTGGCCCTCCAGCTTCACCTTCCGTGGAATTCTCCTCCTTCCTTTGCCCCAACTTTTTAAGTCGTCTCCCAGCCCCCGGGCAGTGGGACCTCCCATACTAATCATCAGCAGGAGAGCCCATCAGAGAGGGGAGGCAGAGGGCACGGACCGCAGCACGCCGGGAAGCCATGCTGAGCGTTACTTGTGCATTTCCTTCTTCGCGGTCCTCTGGAGCGTCCTCGCCGCCCTCCGGCCCCGGCTGTCTCCAGCCCGCCCCGGATCCGCCTCCCCCTCCTTCCTCCGGGAGGTTGAGACCAAGCGTGGGACGCACTTGTGTCCCTCCCCGGTCACCTCGTTGAGGCACCGGGGCTGCTCCCGGAGCTGGATTTACAGGCCCGGAGAACGCCAATGGGAGATCCAAATGGTCGGGGACTCCGGCACTTTAAGAGGCTTTTCTCTGGGAAACACCCGTCCCCTCCGAGCGCCTTATGAATGGAAATACTCCTCCCCCGGTCGAGCCCATTTTCCCATTTCACCAGGAGCCGCGGGTTGCTCTCTCCTTTCGGTCTCCCCGCCCACATCAACGCGGGCAGCTCCAGGAGGGGACGGACAGGAAGCCTTTGGCCGCCTATTAAATCCCACCCATTTCTCCGGGGGCGATTTCCTAACCTTCCGGGACCGAATTCTGCAATTTGATGTGCGTTTTGTCCGAATGGTAGCGACACGGGCCTAAGGGAGGGGGAAAGCAAGGGGGTGGGGGGTGGGGGGTATGCGCTCTTTTCCTCGCAACATCGCTGGCGGAGCGAGGGAGCTCACACGACACAGATTTTGGGGCAAAGCCTTTCCATCTGGACAGCACCATGTCCACCAAAGCGGAGCAGTGTAAGTAGCAGCCGGCCCGGCGTTCCGGCCCGGCCTCCGGCTGGGAGCTATTGCAGTTGCGGCGTTTGCGGCTGCCGGGAGACCTTGGCATCGTGCTGGTGCGGGGGTGGGGGCTGAGGTTGGGGCGGGTGGGGGGTGGGGGACGGAAGAGAAAGTGGGGGAGGGTGGACGTGGATGGCAACGCGGCGCTGTCCCCGGTGCTGAAAAATAATGCTGTCTTCTCGGGCTTGTGGTGGGGTTTCGCAAGACTGAAAGACCCTGCGAAATGAAATTGAAATAGGGTCATTCTCGGGAAAAAGAGGCCTCATATCTTTCAGATAAACATTTCAGTATCTCTTGTTGGAGTGGGGGAAGGGGGGCAGCGGCAAATCAGGGGCGGGGAACTGTCAGTGCAACCAAAGCCTGCCTGGCCTTCTGAGCATGCCCAGTTCTAGGTGCTGGAGCCATCGGGGAGTTTGAGTCTGCAGTTTCCACTTCGGGTTGGAGAGGCAGGAAAGGAGAGAAGGGAGAGGGAGCCGGGAGTCAGGCAGAATTCTGGACCAGTGTGAGGAAAATCAACTCCTGAATACCTACACTAATGCAAAAACTAACCCCAACCACAGGTTAAAGCAAGAGTTGGTGCTTTGCATGAAGGTGAAAGGGGCTCTGAGAAAATGATCTAATTATTTTTCCAAAGAGGTTTCCTTTGTAGGGCAGCTCACACAAACTACAACAAATAGCAAGAGGATTTTAGTTGTCTCAGTGTGTTTGGTTGGAAACAACCTGCTAACTCCTTGTGCACAGAGGAAGTTTCTAATATGCTTCCTATAGCCTTTCTTATTGCAGTGCGCATTTGTAGGCCGGTGGTATGTACTTCGTAGGTTGATTAATGTGAAATCTTTTCCCGAGTGCACTTGAGGGATTCAGGAACTTAGTTTTTGTAAGTAAAAGATATTTTTATTAAGCAATGAGTTTGAATTTTTAACAAATATGCCAGAACTGGTTCATCTAATTGACTCTTGTTTCTCTCAAAGAAGTACACAGTTAAGTTGATAATGCTGTCCTGTCACTACTTAAGTCTTTGTATTTCTTTTTTTGGAATGGCTATAAAAGCCATTTTGTGAGACACCCGACACAGTAGTCTCATTATTGTGGGGCAGTATGTTGTATATGATATGCATATGCAGTGTGCCACTTATTCACCAGATAGATGAAATGAACTGAAGGCTCACAGAACTCCCAGATTGATGGTTCATTAGAGATTCTCTATGCCCACCTACCATCCAGTGCTTGTACCTCTTAACAATGTTATTTTTGGAATCTGGAACATCTGGTTTGTATCCTAGTTCTGCCATTTACTGTTTGACCTTGGGCAAGATAATTGATATCTCTAAACTTTATTTCCTCATCTGTAAACCTGGGGTAATAATGCTGATGGCGTTGTGATTATAAATGAGGGAATACACATGGAAGATTGAGTAGCGAGCCTAGCACATAAAAGAACTCAAGAAATGATAGCTCTTCCCTCTTAATATTCCATCTCTTCTAAACAGAAAGTTCTTTTGTGAAATTTTTGGCCTGTTTTTAAAAGTTAAATCTAAACCTCAAAGAAAAATTTTGCTTCCACATAGGATTTCAAACAAATTGAATGCATTATGTTTTGAGTAATGGTAACATAGTTGGAATCAGTGTGAACTTTCCACTTAAGAATATTACACCCTTGAAGGTTTTATCATAGTATGTTGTTAAAAAAACCACCACCTGTCATTTGATTTTATAGTTACATATTATGTAACTTCAGGTTAAAACCAGTGAGTATTACTGTCTTTTTTCTGTGTTTTCGTTTCCTTGTTATATTTGAGATGCACTGGATGCATTGTCTTGTCTCTTTCCTGGGCAGTTAATGCCAGGATGAATAAAATCTACTGGTGGATTTGGTTGTGTAGTGCAGGTAGTGTGTAATTAAGAAGCTATTTTAAAAGTGTTTGTAAAACAGATTTTTTTTCCCTCTGTAGATAATGGAAAGGACACCATATTTGAAGTTAGAACATGTGGATTTGAGTTTTTCATGCCCTTCTGATTAACTGTGAGACACGGGGCAATTAACTTAATACTTTAGTGCCTCAGAGTTTCCATCTATGAATTAAGGGATAATAGTAGCAGCTTTATTTGTCCTAAGTGTTCTGTTCTGGAAGGCAAAGAAGGTAAATGGGAATAGGCTGTGAAAAGGATAAAGATGTTTTGGGTGTTTTGAGGTATCTTTATTTATAGTGAAGGGAAGTTAAAAATTTCTTTTTTTTCTGTTTTACTTGCACTAACATGAATGTATTGTCACTTGAGTGCACATTGTATACCTGAAAATAGAGCAAACACATGAAAATCTGCATGGTTGATGTTCATGAAGGGTGAATACTTTTTAATAAAGAGAAGTTGCAGATTTGTGGTATTTTATGCTTGGACTTAGTAGGAATATGGCTAGAAGGAAGGAGAAAGAAGGGAAGGCTACGATATTTTTCTCTCCTACTGGATGCGAAGACCACCAGAACAGGAGAGAACTAGAGAGTTTATTTATCCTCTGAATTCAGGATTATGCACAGTACCACTTGTCTAAGGACCAAGAGGAAGAATGAGGTTTAATATAATGTCACAATATTATTTCTATTGCTCTTCTTCCTGAGGCGTCTTGATGTAGGTAGAGGTGTCACTGGTGCAGGAAGTGGAGATAGTTTGGTTGAACCAGCAAGAGGAAGCACTTGCATTTCAACCCAAACAGATTACGTGATTTACCTTTGAGATGTAATGTATCACAGATATGTGAAAAATGATTTTATTTTTATGTAGTGATATTTTCTTGTGTGAAATAAGTAATAATGATGAAAGAGAGACTAGTATTAGCTAGGATATAGTTTGGAGCTGTTTTTATACATTCACTCTGTTTCCTGTATAATGTGCAGAATATCATAACAGAAGGTGAAGCTTCCTAGCAATTTCTTAAGGCGACTGCACAGAGCTAAAACTTTTTTCCTCCAAATGCTTCTTTTTCTTACAACATTCACTGTAGTGAAAATGTTTTTGTAGTTGCTTTAGAATCTGAAATGATTCTTTCATTTGGGGTTCTAAGGAATCCACCTCCTCTCCCTTTCTCTGTCTTCTAAGAGTTAAAATGGAATAATCTGGAGTACTTTGGATGTGCTCTTTCAAAAGAAGCATCTTTCAGTAACAGCAGAAGTTGAGTTGGGGTTCTAGAATCAGACTGCTGCCTAAGTATAAATTCTGGCTCTGCTTCTTGGAATCTCTGTGACCTTAGACAAGTTAACTCAACCTTTCTAAGCCTTGACTGTATTATCTATAAAATGGGGATAGTCATAGTTGTTGTGAAGATTAAAATGAGGTGATCCATGGAAAAGTGCTTAGCACAGAATCTTGGCACATAATGAGGGGTTAATAAATGTTAGCTATTATTATCATCATCATCAAGTATAAAATCTTATGCTTGCTGCTAAAATGAGGATAATTATAAATTTGGATCTACTTACCCCCCCAGAGTGTAGCAGAAAAAAAAGTAACCATGATATTATTTAAATGGGACATGGTCTATTGGACTATTTTTTATTCTCCTTTCCTTGTCTCTGGGTCTCCTCTACAGCAGTCAGCCTAACCCATTTTAAGTGGGAGGAGATTTCTGCATGGCAATTCCTTGACTTGGTATATCTAGCAAGACACTGGCTAATCATCTAAACAGAGGATTTCTAAGGCATGAAATCCCTATCCATCACTTTTTGTATTATAATGATGGTGTAGTAGCTGATAAACACAAATCACTTATATAAATATCCATCAAAATGTTTGTCAATTTTGGAAATTAGCCTGCTGAGTATAAATTCAAAAAAGCTAATTATAGAAATGTGAATATATGCTATTTTTAATGTGCTTATCCTACTCATCTTAAAAAATTTTTTTTGAATGTTTATTTTTGAGAGAGAGAGAGCATGAGCTGTGAAGGGGCAGAGAGAGAGGGGAACAGAGGATCCAAAGGGGCCTCTGTGCTGATAGCAGAGAGCCTGATGTAGGGCTCAAATTCATGAACTGTGAGATCATGACCTGAGCTGAAGTCAGATGCTTAACCGACTGAGCCATCCAGGTGCCCCAGTCCTACTCAACATCTTTATCTTAGTAACTAAAAGTCTTTTTGATTATATGAAAAACACTTTTAAGAGTAGAGATAATTAGCACTATGAATTGAAGTTGAACTTGGCCCTGTCCCATGCATCTTTAA